TGCCCCGCCCCGCGCACCTGCCCCGCCCCTCGCCTGCCCCGCCCAGCTACTTCACTCTGTGCACGTGCCAGTTCTGCTATGAAAGGGCCGCACCTGCGCAGCCTCTGTTCCCCTACCTGCGCTTGGCAGGACTCATCACTCTCAGTGTTCAGAGCCACGGCCCTGGCAGCGCGTTCTGACTGGACGTGGCACACAGCCTCCCTCCACCCGGAAGGACAGCCCCGTGGGGAAGGTCTCGGAGGTAAGTGCCGGAGGCGCCTCCTGCGTCTGCACGTGGAGGGGACGCGGGGGTGTGGGGTCGGGAGGGTGCGGGGGCCATTGCTGACAGCGCTGGACGTGAGGGCGCGGGGGCCCGTGCTGGGGGCGCGGGGCCGGTACTGAGGGCGCTGGACACGGGAGCTCGGGGGGCCAGTGCTGAAGGCGCTGGACACGGGGGCGCAGGGGCTGGTGCTGAGGATTTGGACATGAGGGTGCTAACACGGGGGCGCGGGGGCCGGTGCTGAGGGTTTGGACGTGAGGGTGTTAACACGGGGGCGTGGGGCCAGTGCTGAGGGTGCTGGACACGCACTGGGCACAAGGACGCAGGGCCAGCTGGGCCGGGCTGCGTGGTTTTGGGGCGCCGAGGGCCGGGTTGCTCGGTTTTGGAGTGTCCAGGGCCCAAGCGTCCGGTAAAAGGGGGGCGTGGGCCCGCTGGCCGCAGGGTGACCCCGCTGGTGGCCACTCCAGTGGGAGGACTCTGGGAGTCGCTGGATGGGGAAGTGGCCACAGCCCTCGGCGCAGGTGGGCAACCACGAGCGCGTTCTGGGGCTGAGTGTTTGTGGACACGTGTGCTTCAGGCCAGGGGTCAGTTGTCCTCAGGGCCCTGACCCTCAGGTGGGTGGGCTGTGCAGGTGGCCAGTCCATCTCGGTGTCCCTGACACTGCTGGACCCCGCAATGACTTCTCTGGAAACAGGGAGCATATCCGCAGGACGCTGCCCAGCCTCCGATCCCTTCGGGATTTGTAAAAGCCCACAGGGTTTAATAAATGTTAAAACAAAGAAAATGAAAACATTTTAAAAAGACTTACTTCCCAGTCTCTCCTGAGTGCCAGTGTCCCTGCAGAATAAAGAGAAATCATCCGGGGGCGAGGGGGTTTAGAAAAAGCCTGGTGCTTCACCTAAGTACGCACAGGGACGTTGTATGGTCAAGACCACCGTTATAAAAAGCTAAACGGAGGTGTATACCCAGAAGAATCACTGGAAGGTGGCCGGAGACGGGGCAGGAGAGCCAGGGGAAGGCACACTAGTCAATGCAGACGCCACTGAGATGTGTGAATGGAAAGGTGAGGGGCGGTCAGCCGCGCAAGGAAGATTAGTGGGAATCAAAAAATACGGAAGGAAACGGGAAAGGTGCATTCAAATCTCAATTAAAAAATTGATAGGATTTTTTTTTCTTAAATAAACAAAAACTTTCTACCAAGGGCATAGCTGGCCTGAGCCGCTTGTCACTTCTAGCTGTGTGTCTGTG